ATATAAGTTATTTTATTAAATTTAGAAGTGCTAATTATAAAGCTTAGTTTCCTAGTATTTAGTATACAGTAACTTATTATATTATTCTATAGCTAATTATTTATAGTTTTCCGTAAATAAGGTATTATACATAAGTTATATTTCTTCCTATTTAAGGAATTAGTCTTTAGTTATAGTAGAGTAGTAGGGATTTATACTAACGCGCTTTACTATCCTATTATTATTTAGTGCTTACTATAAAGTAATTCTGTGCTATTTAAGTATTTATTAGAATTTACTTAGTTCTTATTCTTAAGTTTCTTCTAATCTATAGTTAGAGGGTTTTTATCCACAGGGGTAGTTAGGTCCCTGGGGTTTTTGTAATCCATAGTTTACATATAGTTCTGAGATATTAAAGTTAGTGTAACCTTTTTCTTATTTAAACTTTTTTCTTTATTTATAGATAAAGGTATTTACTTATTCCTTTTCTTCTCTTATAGGTGGAATATTAAGGGCTTAGTTAATTACTTATTAATTAACTTCCTTAGAAGTTATAGTATTAATTGCGATATATCTTAGCTACTTTTTCTTAAGTGCCTTTAGGAACTATCCTAATCCTTCTTTCTTACTTTTATATATAAGATATTAATTATTATAGTAAGCAGTCTAACTAAGTAAGTTATAAAGCACTATTTCAATAGTATTAACTTAGACCTTATTAAATTTCTTATTATTATTAGATTTCTTTAGGGTATTAGGTTTCTTATACTTTTTCTAGCAGTCCTTTTCCTTATAGCCTATCTTACTATAGTAATTATATTTGCCTGTAAATTTGCGGGTATTAATAATATCCAGGTCTATAGGTCCCGGTTTTTCATTATTATATAAAGCTATATTACGCTTTCTACCTTAGTTAGTATACTGCTAGGAGTTTTATTTAGGTTATTAAAAGTTTTTACGTTTTTCTTTTTTCTTTTCTTACTCCCTTTCCTAAAGTTAGTTATTAATACTAATTACTATTTAAGTATAGTTAATAAAGCTAATAATCTTTTTATTAACTTTATATAGTTTATTTTTAATTAAGGGTTTAAGACTTATATAGTACGCCTCCTTTTTACTATCCTTAGTCTAGTTAACTTTAGTAAGGAGTTATATAAATATAATTGTATACTTAAAGTATTATCCTTTCTGTTTTATAAAACAGAGCTCTTGTTCTACTTCCTATTCCTTATTTAAAGTTCTAAATAATTTCTTAAGTTAATTACGGAAGTCTTAGTGGAATTTAAAGACTTCTTAGGTTTAATCCTTCTATTTAATTAAATTGTTTTTCTTAAAGTCCTGTATAATAGGTCTTAACTATTTTCCAGCTGCTCCAGTAAGGTAGGTAATTGTAAAAATTATTTTATTTTTATTATACTCTAGGGTGTTTAGAAAATATCTAAAGTAAATATTAAGTTTAGTAAAAAACCTTTTTATATCTTTAGGTTCCCTATTGTATAGGTTAGGACGCTTAGGTTAAAGGATCTTGCCTTTTTCTTTTTTCTTAGTCTTAAGTATAGTAATTTTATTCTTAAGAGCTAGAATTTTAGCTTACTATTACTCTTAGGTAAGCTGTGGTTAAGGCTAAGGGTCTTCGCTAGCTATTTTAACTTCGGGTACTTCTTTAAATTCTATATTACTGTCTTTGTAACTTAAGGTAACACTTTCTTAATCTATTCTAACGTCTAGGACTTAGAATTTAACTATTTAATATTTTTATAATAATATTACCCGTGGTCTAAGGTAACCTCTGAATAAGAGTTATAAATATGTAATAAGCTAAGCTCCTATAGTATTAGTATAAGAGGGATTCCTAAAGGATAAACCTTATGCTAGGTTTATATTAGCGGATAAGCTAGGCTAGACTATAGGTAATTAACAAGGATAAAAGGGTTTATTTACACAACTAGTAGATAATATTATTCAGAGTATAATCAAGCGTTATTCTATATTTATAACTAGCTATTTAAACTATTCTAAATAAGCGTTATAAAATAAATATATAATATAAAGCTTACTTAAGCTTACTTAGTATAAAGTAAGCTGGTTTCTTAATTAGGAAGTGTCTTACTTTAGCTTACCTATTATTACGTAAGCTATACTATAATTAGTCCTTCGGCCTATTATAGTTCTGTAGTGCTTACCCTGTAGGCCTGCTGTTGCGACTATAAATGTATTGGTTTGTAATACTTATTATTATATAAAAACTTTATTAATAATATTTACTTTAATATATAAGTTAAGGTTTACTTTAGTATTAAGGGTTTTTTTTTTATAAATTATAATAATAATTTATAATTATTTAAAAACCTAAAATAAAAATATAACTTTAATTATAATAAAAATATTTACTATAATTAATATTTTTTTCTTAAGCTTTAGTTTAGGTATTTATTAACTTAATAATTAATACTTTAGTAAATAAAATATTATAACTTTTATTAATTAATTTAGCTTAAAAGGGTAAATATAATAAAAATATTATTAAAGTTTACTTACTTATTAAAAAGATTTTAATATTAAAATTAATTTTTAAACTTAAGTTAAAAATAGTATTTTTTTTTATAAATAAATTACTAATTTTAATTAAAAAAAGTAATTATTCTTAAGTTTTTTTTTTAAAGCTTAATATTATAAATTTTCTTAATAATAAATAGTAAAGGTAATTATTTTTTTTTATATTTTAAAGATTTTATTACTTTACTACTTAATTTTATTCTTAAGTATAAGAAAAAGCTTTTTATAATAAAAAAAAGCCTTTTATTTTTTAAAAATATAAAAAAAGTATTTTTTTAATAAATTTAAGTAAATATAAAACTTTTAAAAAAATTAATATTTTTATTACTAAGTTACTTTAAATATACTTAAAATTATTAAGTTTTAGTAAATAGTTTTTTTAAAAAAAAAATTACTTTATTTTTTAAAGTATTTTTAATTATTACTATATTATTATTACTAATTTTTATTTTATTTATTAAAGTATTATTCTTAAATTATATAAGTATTATTATTTATATTATTTAAGCCTAATAAAATTTTAATTATATTTTTTTAAAACTTTATTTATTAAATATTTTTAATATAAACTTTTCTTTAATTATTAAAAAAAAAGTTATTTTTATATTACTTATATTACCTTAGTAAGTTAATTAATTTTATATTTTTAAGAATTATTATTATTAATTATTATTATTACTTTTATAATTTTTATAATATTTTAAACTATATAATTATTACTTTTACTATAATTATATTTTTTTAAAAATATATAAAATTAAGTTTTTTTACTAAAAAAAAGTTTTATATAAGTATAACTTTAGTAATAAAATTAATAATAATATATTTTTTTTATAATATTAATTTAGTAATACTTAAATAAGTAATTATTATTATTATTACTTAAGTAATTTTTAAAAAAGTTTAAGAATTATTATAAAATATAAAATAAATTAGGTAAATAGTAATAAAAGTAAGTATTTTAATTTTATAAAACTTAAACTTAATTTTTTTTATAAAGGATTAGTAGTAAAATATATAAGAAAAAGGTAGTAAGCCCTAGGGGTTATATAAGGGATAGTATAGTATTATAATATTATTATAAAATAAAATATTATATAAATTATAATTATAATATATTAATAATATATTAGTAAATAATTTTAAAAAAGAAATATTATATTATTAAATTACTTTATTTATAAAGTATAAAGTTTTAAATTTAGCTTTATATAATAGTAAATTTAGTATTTTTTAAATTAATTATAAAAACTAAGTATTTAATTAAAAAAATATATAATTAAATAATTTATTAGTAATATATTAATAAAGGATTACTTACCCTAAAGCTTTTTATTTTTATATAATTTAATTAAGTTTTTTTTAAGTTATACTTTAATTAATTTAATATTTCTCTAATACTTTAGTATATTAATAATTTTTAAATAAAAAATAAAAAAATTAATATATTTAAATACTATTATAGTTATATTTTATAAATATAATAAATATTAATTTTAAAAAAATAAATATTAAATAAATAAAAAGGTAAATTTACTTTTTAAAGTATTAAATTTATAATATATTAGTAATATATTAATAATAAGTTAATATATATTTATAAAATCCTATAGTTTTTTTATTTTTTTTATATAAAGGTTATTTATTTATATAATATAACTAACTCCTTTAGTAAATAATTTTAGCTAATATAAAATTATAATTATATAATAAAGTATTTTAATAAAAATAATACTTTTATATATAGTAATATAATATATTTATTTTAATAAAAAAAATAAAATAGGTTGTTTAAATATAATTATATTATTAATATTTTAAAAAATAATAAATTAATAATAAATTAATAATAAGTTAATAATAAATTATTTTAACCTTTAGCTTTTTATTAATTAATATAAGAATTTAAGTATTATTAAATTTAAAATTATTATTTTTAATATCTTAGTTATTAATAAACCTTTATAAAGCTAAAAAAATATAATTCTTTAATATTTAAATTAATATAATTATAAAAAAAGCTATTTTTAATATAATACTAAATATATTAATAATAATATATTAATATATTAATAATTAATAATATTTATTATAAAAATTAAGTATTTAAGTTAATTAAGTTTTAAAGTTTTATTATATATTTTATTAAATAAAAGCCTTACTTATTTTTAACCTTACCTAACTAAAGCCTTACTTTTACTATTATTTATAGCTAATAAATATACTTAAAGCTTATATTAAATAAGCTACCCTGCTTTTTTAAAAAAAGTAGAGCTTATATTAGGTCAGGTCGCGTAGGTTATATTAGTTAAGGTATATCCTCATAGCCCAGCCAGCCTAACGTGATCCATTCTCCTTTAAATAACAGAAGAGAAAACCATTATTGCACCAAATAGGCTACAGAATTAAATCCAAGTTTTATTATTCATTTACTTACTGCTATTGAAATTACACCTCTACCAACAATGTCAGGCGCCGAGCTAATTGGGATCATCTCAGGTATCATCGCCATAGTGGACGCCTCGCTCAAGATTTACGAGGCGGCCGCGGATGCCTCGGGCCTGCCGCGAGCATTTCGCAATGTAATTGCACGACTCCCCGTCATTCAAGACACGCTAGAAGCAGCGAAAGATGCTTTAGAGGAAGAAGAGGAAGAGGGGAAACACGAATTATCGAGAGTTAAATTCCGCGAGGCATTGGCCAAGATTCTGGAGAGCTGTTATGACAAGGCGACCGCCCTCAACAAGACTCTAAAGGCTGTAATGCCTACACAAGGCGCGTCCAAAGCGAAGCGATACGTCAAAGCAATCAAGATGATTCCCGCTGCCGACAAAATCGAGAGCCTGATGAATGGTATCCTACACGACTTGCATGTGCTGGCAGCGAACCACTCGGTAAAATCAGCCACACGGTCGCAGATCAAAGATCTTATGGACATAACAAAGAAGGATGACAAACGAGAGTGTGTACGCATCGGACACCGCGCGACTATATCATTATACAATGCCGGCAAGGGCTCGCAGTATATCTATGAGGGACAAGGAAATCAGAATGTGTCGATGGGAGGAATACAATTTAATGGGTCATCAACGGCGCCACTATATATAGGCATGATTAGGTGACGTGCAGAGAGTTTCCTATTACAAACGTTGGTTGTATCACGTGTATATAGAGAAGTTAAAGTTAACAGGCATCACGATCGTCTCAAGATTGGTATCCACATCAACTATAAGGAAATCTCTCTACTACTACTTAGCATGCAGAACATCCCGTGGTGTGTACGTTATATTACCTACCTGGTCCATGTAAGTCCCCCTTGTTGAAGAACTACCACAACCCTGTTTACATGCGTCTCGCTCCACATGCTCCGAGCAATTCCTGGATGTTGGGGTAACTCTCTCCGTAATGATACGCCCTATGACCACCCCCATCCTCCACCTCAGCATCGGCTCCTACGTCGAGCAGGCAAACTACCAGCTCATGTTTACCTAGCTGGGCTGCCAGCATTAGCGGCGTTCGCCCACTCCCGTCTTCCGCGTCCAGATTAGCGCCGCTCTCTGCCAACATCTTCACCAAGCCCGAGTCGGTATAGCCGTTGACAGCGTGATGAACTGGTGTGAAATCATTGTTATCGACTGAATTTGGGTCACCTCCGCTATCTAACAACATGCGAAGCCCCTTTTTGAATCCCAGACGGGCAGCGTGATGTACTGGTGTCAGGCCTCTTGGGTCAGCTACTTTACAGGATGCTCCGCGGTGGACCAAGATCTGTGTTGCGGTTGGATTCTTTCGCTGCGTGGCTAGAGAAAGGGCCGTAAAGCCTTTGGCATCAGTGACATCAAGGGATGACGCTTCTGCAATGTTAGAGGCCAGTAGGGTCACAATGTCTTCCCTATCAAGCAAGACAGCGTAATGTAACGCCGTTAGCCCACCCTCCCCTTGGACAGTAGTGCTAGCGCCACGCTGAATAAGGAGACGAACAGCTTCAAGATCCCCCCTGTATGCCGCTAGATGCAGTAATCTTCTACCCGTTTCGTCAATAACTGCGTCTGGGGAGGCTCCATATTGACATAGCAGCCATGCCGCAGAATGGTTCTGTCGTCTTAGTGCTTGTTCGAGGGGGGTCTGCCTATACATGTCCGTATTCTTGCCGCCGGTCTTCTTGGCGAGGCTCGGAGCGGTGACGGAAGCACCTCCATTGATCAAGAGCCATACGAGATCATTGTCTTGCCTCTCAATAGCGTAAAAGAGTGCTGATTTGCCGTTGATGTCCTGCTCGTTTGGCCTTGCCCCCGCGTTCAGCAGCACCCAGGCTGTATCATGATCCTGCAGCCTGACAGCCTCAATTAACAAGGTTGACGCGTTTGGCACTTTTGTGTTTATGTTTGCCCCAAGGCTGGCAAATAGCTGAACCAGCCTGCTGTTTTTCTTCTTGACTGCTTCATGCAACGGAGTCGAGCCATCACCGCAGGCCTCGCCCACGTTAGCACCGTGGGCAACTAGTAGCTGAACCGCATCGGTCATTCCGTGATGTGTGGCCCACCAAAGAGAAGTTTTCTTCTCTCGATCCTTCAGGTCGACTCGAGCAGGATCAGGCTTTCGATTCAGTAGCTGCCGCATCAGGAAGAGGTTCCCCTTACTAGCTGCGAATACGAGGGGAGTCCATCCATCTTTCGTCGAAGGGCGATTAAGATCAACGCCGCGCTCCAGCAGCAGTTCGGTAAGGGTGTGGACATGGTCTGTGACCGCAACCTGTAACTGGGTCCATTCTCCATACTTTGTCTCCGGGCTCCCTTGGCCTACTACACCAGACATCTCAAAAACATATCTCAGCAACGTCCAGTCTACAAATATCTCGGTGTTGACATCCTCTTTGCTCTCAATCATCAGCTTAGCAATTGATGGAGGCCCATATTGGATAACTCTTTCCAGGGGTGACACACCCTTTCCGTTTTGAATATCCAGCCGCGCACCGCGCTTTATGAGCGCCTTAACTATTGCCACATTATCCGCAGCCGGCCCCACGAGGGCTTTATGAAGGGGGGTATCACCAGCCTGATCGCATAAGTTTAGGTTGGCCGATTTGTGGATCAAAAGCTCCACGAACTTGCGTCGACCGTATCGGACTGCCCAGTGTAAAGCCGTCTGGCCATCTGAACATTGAGCGTTGACATCAATATTGGGCGGAAGACGCTCAGCCCACGATAAGAGGTCGAAGTGTATGGCAGCGTGCCAGCCTGTCATGCCGCTAAATGCACCGCCTTCTGCCTCTTCCATTGCCTCAAAAGCCCTGGTGAGATTGGGCCCATCTCTGAGGAGCCTCATAACCAATGAGTCTGTGTTCTCGTCGAACACCTGATCTTTACTGTTGAGGTGTGCCCACCAACATTTGGCGGCATATTGTAGCAGTGGGGAATTCTCCTTTTCCTTGCACGTGTTGATCAGAAAGTATAAGCATGTTTTGCCTATCTCGAGGTCGGCATCGTTGGATATAATTTCAAACTGGAGAAGGTGCTTTTTAATTGACTTATGGACTAAGCCAAACGTCCCCTTCTCTGTTTTGACCAAGCCGGTGCAAGCACGCATCACTAGCTCTTTGGCAGGGCGATGGTTCTCATAGCAACCTCCCTCGCTCTTTTTGATGGCAAAGCTATCCTGGATCTGTTTAATATTCATGTCGACTTTGGCGTGTGAGACCCAGAGGAGGATATGTTTTGTTAAAAGAAGTTCACCGTTGCCTTTGTTTGTCTTTACTCTCTGAGCAATTTGCTTCGTCAGTGCTTTAAATGCTCCCAATGCGCTGTCAGGGAGATGCTCCAGAGCCTGCATTATGTCAAAAAAGGTGGTCCCTTGCTTGCTCAAATGATCCATGTGTAGTTTGGCTGACAAAAACCTGAATGAAATTAGCCACCGTTCCTGACGCAAAGTATTTGAGTGCTACACTGACATCTTGCTAGACATAGCCCTCGTTGTGACACCCTTTATAATCTCTTCTTGGTGTTCGGCCTTAGACAGTACGCTTCGTAAGCGTCCATCATCCGCAATTCGATTCTTGACATAGGTCAACACATCTGCCTCTCTGGGTGTGATGGAAAGCTCTCGATGTGCTCCGACGTCTTTTCCTATATAATTGTCTCTGGATGTGAAAAGAATGCGAACATTATCTGGGAGATCCACAAGAGCCTTTTGGAACCCCTTTAGCGTCGCTTCTCGGGGAGCGTTCTGGCAGCTATCTAGGGCATCAATGATCAGGTAAACGGTCTTGACAGTCGCTACTTGTGCCTTGAAGAGATCGAAATATTCGGATGAATCAAGTGCGGCTGATCTTCTGAACGGGTCGGTGAATTTTTCCTTCAATGCACTTGTTATGTTGCTTGGATTTGCGCTCAAGAGCTGGGTTAGCAACGTCGCCCAGATACGTCTGAGTGGCACAGCGTGCTTCTCCGCTTGAAAAAAGAAGTAGATGCAAGCAACTTCATGTTGGTTTTGGATCTGTTTTTCGATAAAATCAACAATAAGCGACCTTGTACGTAATATGTCAGCATATACCCTTCAAATGCCGTCTACTGGGGGGTCTAACAAGAGTATAGTTTTGCCAGATCCAACTGCAACGACTTGATTAGCAAATAAGGCAATTTCAAACAGTAATATGTTTTTGGTATGTTTTCCACTTACGTATGCCTTGCATCCACAAAATTCGAGACGAGCTGGAGGCTTCTTTCCACTCGAGAAACTCCTCAGAATTGAGAATCCACTTGCCGGTACCCTTGGACAGCTGAATGATGAGATTGCGTTGGTATTGGCTAAAATTGAGTGGAACTTGATTTGGTTGGGTCGTTAACCACTTGAGGATGTTTCCATCTATTGACGCTTGTTAGCATATTAAAATCTTGGCTGTTCCGCTCTTGACTACCCACCAGTCGGCTCTTGTGCCCAACTCTCTGGTCCCCCAAATCTCTGAAAAAATTGGCCGACTGAAGGTGGTATTCCCATCTTCCCATTCTTTCCATTTAGCAAACTAACTGAGCAGTCGTCAATAATTATCATGAAACTGCACAGAAAGATTTGCGAGCTTACTGTTGAAGTGCTGATTATATTTAACCATCGTACCGTTACCATACACCGCATTCTGATCTCCAATGCCTTCAGATATGTACTGGCTGCCATGTCCCGAATTGTTGGCGATTACCTCTGGGCGATGTTGCCTCCCCGGGATTGACATCTTGGGGAAAAAGAATTACTGTGGGAATATTTGCTTCAATGAGTATGTCTCACTTCACCGTGATTCTCGGACGCCGTCCTTGAATAAACTCAAACTTACGCTCCGGATAGCATATCTCAGGACAGATTTCGCCAAAAGATGCCGTATGATGGATGAGATATAAATAGTTGGCGTGGCGTATGCATCAAGAGTCCACGGCCCCCGTCCAACTGCATACGAGTAACACTTAGCAGAGCCTCCAGCCGCACAAGGTATCCATCATGATTCTTGACAACATGAAGTGCTGGTTTTTGCAGTGGAGAAGGTGTCCGATTCCGGTATTCAGACTCCAATAAACGCCGAGCTTGGTCGCCAGCATACAATGGTATGTTATACAAGTGGCAGGATTAGGCGAACGGAGACCGAAGAAGGAAATACTGCACCAGCCTTCCGCCGACATGTTACAACGGTGGCTCCGATCATGCGGATATAACTCAACCATGACAGTTGGAGGGGCGGCTATGTTTTTTTTAGCTTCATGCAGTAATCACACCCACCGTTCGATTGCGGCTCAAGTAGTAAGATAACCCTCAGCCCGTAGTGTAGGTATACGCCGTACCATCTTCCTCTTCTTCACCCGCTTAATGTCAAGGCAACTGGTTGCCTAGTAAATGAGGCAATCGATTCTGCAGAGAGCACAGTTCCAGGAGTAACACGGAGCCGCTCTCTGGTCCATTTGTAACAGTGTAACAAACATCTACACTGCAATCACGAGAAAGCGGGATCATCAGCGATTTCCAGGTTTGCTGAAGATACAGGAGCAGTATACCTCTTACCGTGTATTGCCGCCATATTTTAGCGGCAAGGGCCTCCTATCATATTCCAGGAATTCTCCCTCGGGCAATCTGCGATGGAAACGGTCAATTCTCAGATTTCGGCCTCGCATCAATCTGTTACCGACACAAAGAATCCGTATGAAGCCCAATCATACTTCCATATTACTCCCCATCAGAGTACATGTATGTAGTTAACATGAACTGATTCTGGCATAGCATGGGGTCGTACCGTAACGGGCCGTCACGCCGGCGTCGACGGCCTCGGAAATCGCCAGCTGACCGGCGGCTAGACTTGAGCCAACGAAATGCTTCTCTCAAACCTAGAAAGCTGCAGAGTGATCTGTATACCGATGTTCCCGCAGAGAATCCTTCTGCCTCAGAGTTCTTCATCGATGGATTATACCCAAATGACGATGTTATCTACCCCCCTCCACCGAACTTTTCGCATTGCCAAATTTCTGCCCAAGAATTACCTGCAGACACCGTCAGCCCACGCGCACGCGATGTAAATCACAATCGCTCGTCCTCTATCAGAGAAGGTCAAATCTTATGCCCTCCCCAAGAAGACAACAAACCTGAGAACCACAAACGTACTCCGCATGTCCTGCCTGATGAGTCGGAGCACAAAATTCACTCCACACGGCCATCTCTGGAGCCAAACATTCGAGATCGCCAGGCAGCCAAGGGTATATCTTATAACAACGAGCAAGTTCTTCGTCCATTGTTTCAAAGAAGTATCTTACCAATATCACCACCGATGTCTCGTGATGCATCTTCGTCAACAACACATAACAGAGCGGAACAGAACATGGACGAAGTGGAAGTATCAAGAGCAGAGACTGTATCGAAAGTCTCCGAAACAAGGGCCCAGGTGGCCGAACCTGTGTCGGATATGTATGGAGGTCATATCATGGTCGGTATCGAAAGGGAACTAAATCAAGAGCAAGATCTCAGTCTACCGATTTCTCAACGGTCCAAATCTCCCCTTGTGAGACCACTGAGCCGGTTTATTCCAAAGAGAAGACCCCCGACACATAATGCGAGATCAAATAAGTCTTCTGGTGGCGCACCTATTTCTAGGGCCTTCGAGCCTATTGGGGGCCCATGGATAGACCAGGATTACCAAATTTTCTTAGATTTCGAGATGTGGCCATAAATCAGGGGTAATTTTCATTTATATTGTTACTCAGATTAAAAATATTATTCAAATAGTTGATTATGTCGCATATGCGTGGAAGAAGTTAAACGCGATGCATTCGTAGTCATTACAAATAAAAGGCAACTCATCATGGTGAAACGTTGTCCGTCTTGTTCAACATACAAGCATAAATTAGTTCAAAGGCCTCAGAACAACCGACAGTGGAAATCGTGACGAAAAATAAGACAGTGAACGGTGTCAATAATTGTTATATGTTACTTAACTAACAGCCTTCGCTTTAACAAATGCTCATGGTGAGTGCTGCTCTTTGGACTACCCACTCTCGAAGTGCAATGTAACTCCAATTATTAGAATTCGGCTTGTTGAGCCCATTCAACTTGCAATCGGACGGCACAACCGTGTTCGTCCAGGGGATGCGGAAGTTGCACCAGCGCTTGCCAAAACACTAGAAGACGGGAGCGAGACTGAGCTCGGATTGAGTTCCCAAGACGATCGCGATATGCTATAGCATAAATGATTGTGGCAGTGCTTTGCGACATGAGGAAATACCCCTCCCGTAGTTGGGCACCGATGGCTCATCAGTACATATATAGCCGCAGCCCATGCCACATCTTATCATCAGGCCGCCGTGCATAATCCCTTGCAGATGCCAGGCTCCGATACCTTTTGCCATATAGCTACAAAACACTACACAGAAGCCTGGAACAGCGTCTCAGCCTTATGATGTTCTGTAAGGATCGTTTCAGGAAGGCCACTGTCCTTCCACGCCTCATCCCATCCGGCAGTCCGCACCCAAGGATAGTCAGGGTGCTCCCAGGTGCTGTCTAGGAGGAGGTATTGCGCGTTCAGCCAAGTCTTGTCATCCTTGATGCGTATCCACGGTCGGTCAAGGTAATCTTGAGAAACATGCCGCGCAAGGACTACGGCCCTCGCCGTTTTAACAACATGGCCATCGTCGGGCATGTTGAAGAATCGGGGTAGTAGCTTCTCCAAGTTATCTTCAAGCGTAATGTCTTTCGGTTTGTAGCTGCTGATGTTGCCAAGCTGCAGTGCTGGTGCCCATCGTACGACGTAGTGCAAGATGTCAAAGCGAGCCTTCCACTCCAAGGTTCGCAGCTTGACCGAGTCAGGGATCCATGCAGCGTCTTGAATCAAGAGCAATAATGGCCCAATTGTAAGATGGTGACTTTTCACAATTAGTATACAACTTGCCCACTCTTGTAAACAGCCATACAACGGATGAAGGGCGCTTACATGAGGAAGAAGTCAAACCTCGGGTAGTCAGGAGGGTGGAAAATACACGCAGACACCATGTAGGCAGCCGTATGGATGTTCTCCGCGATGCCCTCTTCCAGATTGTTGGGGTCAGCCTTGACCTGGGCGAGATAGTTCACACCCTCCTCAGGGCACGTGACCTCGATGCCGTCCAAGATCTTGTTTGGGTTTCCATTGCGCACGCTGTTGACGAACTCCGGGTCGGAGTGTACTTGTTCGTACAGCTCAGAAGTATTGAGGCAGCGAGAAGGCGGGTTCACTGCTGCAGCCTTCTCTACCTTCTCCAGAAAGTCGCCAACATAGGTGTCGTGGATAGCGGACTGGGCTAGACCTTGGGCGATGATGGCAGGCTGATCCCACTCGATGCCGTACATGAGCTGGATGAAAGAATGGGCAAAGCCTGTGACCTTGTGAGCTTTCCCGTCTTCTTAAAAAGAGCCTGATTCAGCGCCCTAGCAGATGGACTTACTGCCCCAGCTGCGACGGTACATGTCGTGAGTGCTCTCTTCGCCGCTGAGAAGATTTTCCACCAATGCATTCTTCCATCCTTTTACCTCTACTTCTTCCTGAAAATATCGCAAGAAATCGGCATAGTACTTGGCATCTCCGAGATACTTGGGAGCATTGGCCGCCCAATCCCGGCGAAGGTCCTCGAGGACGCCGTCGTTTAATTGAAACCGGTCAATCTGAATTTTAGCATCACGGTCGAACGCGGCCTGGAGCTGCTCGGGAGTCGCTCCCGCGCCATAGAGTGTACATAGGTGGTGTGCCATCTGCCCATTTACGAATGACAAATTAGAGTTGCGGTTGCGTGGTGTACAATGTGTTGGTCAGGGTGCCTCCTACATGGTTGTGATAACCTCTCGCCAAGAAGAAAACATGATGCCCCTATAGACTGAGTCAACGTAATGCCATGTAACTGTCATCCAAGAAGGCCCACATCAAGATCTTTTTGAAGCAGTTCAGACAGCTTGGACGCTGCAGCTTTATCGTGCTTGTAACCTAGGAGACCGGTTCGACTTGGGTCAATCTGTATTCTGTATGCCGTAGCCATGTTGTTGTGGGCGCAAGTCTTTTCCTGATATGAGTAGTAAAACGTAGAGTTAGATGGGCTCGGTGTAGTTGATTTAGAGAATCTACGACTATATATAGGTACATCATTGTAAACAAACGATACATACATCGGCAGATCAACACAAGGGACAAAGAGTTGACGAGCCCATATATCCGCATGGCCGAGACTGATCCGCACAACCGAGGCCAATCCGTACATCCGATAGTGATCTCAGGGCCTGAAAGTCTCATAAGAAGACTCGCTCACGCTTAGCAGGAGCGAAAGTGAGGTGGGTAAAAGCGGGAGCGGACCAAGGCGGAAGCGGACTGAAACAGACAGACTGGAGCGGACGAGAGCGGACTAGATCAGTAGCAGGCGTAGATTAAAGTAAATGTGGATTAGAATGACGGAGACAGAGTAAGGTTAGATAACTTACTCAAAAGCTTCCACTCGCTTCAGCCAAGCACTTATATCTTTCTTGCCTAAGGGTTAATTAAGCTCAAGACATCTGTTATATTACTTCCTAAACAGCTGAGCCATCTTAGTCAACCAGTCAGCAGATTCATAATACCCTTGAGTTGATGACAAGAATGTCTATCCCACTTTTATACTATGCTTGGAAAAGATGAGAGCCTACTGCGGCCTGCCAGTCAACCCACTGGGTAACATGACCTTGAGTTATTCTCTATCACAAGGCACTCCGGCCGTCCGGACCTTCAACAGGCAACTTGATAGGGAATAAGTCTAAGCCATGTAACGATGGTTAGCAAGGAAGTAGTTCTCAACTATAAAGGACATAGTTTGACCCGTCATAGTGTTATTACCTATGTGACCTTTATCGTCTCTGCCTAGGGTCAAATCTCATTTTTTCACGCACCCATCATGGCCACTTCATCCAGACCACCAGTCATTATCGAACAGCCTCTTATAAATTGTATTCCGCAAGAGCTTCGGCATCGGTTTGACCCTACGTTTGTTGAGTACCACAGCAAATATAACGCAGGCCGTCTCGTCACTCACCAAGTGCCCATTGAAGATGTCCGGAAAGACCCTGCCAAGTATGCGATTGACTACGGGCACGAAATTGTAGATGATGGCAACCTTACCATCACCGAAGAAAAGTGTCCTGTGAACGGCGGCGAAATAACTATCCGCATCTTCCAGCCGGGGGACGTTATACCCTCGCAGAAAAGACCGGCTTACGTTAACTTTCACGGGGGTGGATGGACATTTGGCGGTCTGACTACAGACTACGACTTCTGTAAAAGGCTTGTCCTGGAGCTCGGGTGTGTCGCATTTGATGTCGACTATCGATTGGCGCCTGAGCATAAGTTCCCAATTCCTATTGATGACTGCTGGGCCGCTTTGAATTGGGTAAGTACCGCCCATCGGCTACTGTAAACACAACAGCTAACAATAAGTTAGATCCGAGACGTCAAAGCTCTACAGCTCAATGTGAATCTGGATAAAATCGCTGTCGGAGGGGTCTCAGCTGGTGGTCATCTCTCCACAGTCATAGCACACATGTGCCGCGATGAAGGCATACCACTCGCCTTTCAGTTGCTGGGAGCGCCAGTATGCGATATTCATGTCTTCACACCAACTGGAGAGCTCCGACCAGACTGCGAATATGAATCTTACCGAGAAATGTACCACGCTCCTCCTCTCCCTGCAGAACGTATGATGTTTTTCCATAAATGCTTCGTCGGAAACCCAAGACCAGCTGAGCTTGACGTCCCGCCTTTGGTTCGTATTTAGTATCAACACGTCATATCTTTTCACAGCTAACATCAAGACCAGAACTGGAAAGTATCGCCAATTAAGGCGCCGAACTTTAAGAACTTGGCTCCAGCTCTGATCTGGACTGCAGAGATGGATGTTTTGAGGGACGAGGGTGAGGCATATGGACGAAAAATGAACGACGCCGGGTCAAGGGCAGAAATTATCCGACTCAAAGGCGCACCACATAACTTTGCACATCTCGATGCGATCTTGGAGAGCGGCAAGACGTATAATAGGGAGTCGATACGAGCCTTGCGTGACGCATTTGGGGACAGCTCCTGATGCATTAGTATAAGCGCACTTACACCTCTGCCGTATCAGCAAATCTAATGTTATTCCCGTTAACAAGCAAAGGTAAAGTCAGTGCAGTAGTACAGTTGCTAATATCAGGGTCAATGTGTACTGCTTCGCTACAGACGTTGCTGGTTGAAGATAATTCGAATATAGTGCAGTTAGATAGTCCATTTGAGAAGCCGCTCTTTCATTCTTTGCATCTACACAGTATGTTTAGGCATATTTATAAATAAAACCCTGGAGCTTAAACCATTTATTAAAGAGTACTGGTGTGAATGCTATTAACTGCGGCTACTCAACTCCTCAATCGCTATTAATGCGGCCTCGCGCTACTTCCTTTCGTATCTGCCACAGCGATACGGGGTTAATAACTGTGCAAGGTAGTCGTAAATAGTGAATAGCATCACCATGAGACTCGATGACTTCCTGTATTATCTCTAGGCGTATAGAAGTGTCTCTCCGAATAGCCCTGAAGGCAACGTCGTTCCATGCCGTAGTGACTCTGGGGTAGTGATTCAAATCCATGTACCATGTACTTCGCCACGTAATGGAAGCTGTTTGGGCGTCATTCTTGTAGATAAATGCGCAAGCCTCTCCTTGCTTGCCGTACCATAACACCATTGTACGCAATTTCGGCATATTCAGCGCAGCTCTCGCTGCGGAATATAATAGGTCAGAAGCTCCTTGCCGAGGGGAATCAGAACATAAGAGTGACGATGTTAGAGCTAGAGACCGTAGACGAGTCCAAACCCAGGACTTCCTACAGTGGTGGAAGAAATCCTTGGCATCGGTCATGTATGAGGCAGCGAGTTGTTCAAGATGGAGGCTTCTATCGGCAAAAACCTTGCCGATTTTAGAATCGAGGGAAGAATTATCCGCAAGAGGATTGGCATAATGGCTCATTGCCGTGGAAATATCATCATTGAAATCTTCGAATACCACTATTCTTCTGACCGACTTTGGGAGCCAGCGGGCGAAGACCGCTTCCTAAGCTGTGAAGATGTTAGTGCATAAAAGACAGAGAGAAGATGCAACTTGAGATTTCCGGCTGATGGTAGCGCTATTGGTAGTGAAAGGGAGTAAGAGTTGTACACACTTGGAAAGAATATCTCCTTCCAATCTTCACTCCATGTTCGCCATGACTCGTAAGAAAGCTCGATTAAGCAAGGCAGCTTGTTCAAAAATGCCTGAAGTGTGAATGGAGAAAAACAACGGCGGAGTTGGCGGCGTATTACCAAGCTTGTGACTGCCACGACTCGAGGGGTCTCTCCGATACAATTTAAGAACATGGGGCTAAAGAGTCGCCATATAGATTCTGGAGGAGGAGCAGCAGTTCGTTGGCCACTAACCCATCCATGTCTCGCATCATACCCTGAGGGCTCCCTGCCAACCGCGGGATTCGTCATCGCTTTTTCAGGATTCTCTTCACCCTCAGCTCCTATATAGTAATGCTGGAAAAAATGTTGGGAATCGCTCTCGGAATATGCGTTAAGCTCCAACTTCAATCCTTTGTCTGGCTGCCAGGGCCAGGAACATAGAGCAGAAAAAAGCTTCGCAATAGCGGTTTCCATCATTATACTGTTGCTTCCCCTTCGATCCCGGGACTCGCGCAATTGGCAATGCCCACAATCATATTTGAAAAGTGGTATGTTGAGCCAGATATGACGAACAAGCTTTCGTCTCTTGGGGGCGACCATGTCTTCCAGGTCGAAGAGGCACGGCAACCGCAGTTTCAGGCGGCGAAAGTTTTCCACCTCTATGACGGACTGCCATTCTTTGGAGACAGCAGCAAGCGACCCCCAACCAGGATTCTTGCAGTGTGCAATTTCCTGCAGGATCATTGTCCGGATCTCAGCCGGTATGCAATCCTAATGCACGTCATTTTCCATCACTGTGGTGAGAAGCAAGGATGAGATGTTGCGAATAGAGGCCCTGTCTCTGGAACTCTGGATGTCTGTAAATGATGTCGGATCGGCAGACTTGGCGGACAAAGCACTATCGAGAAAGATGAAAATATGATGAATAAGTGTTGTTTCGACTCCGTGATTCGCGCTGTCGTTGTCAAAGAAAAGAAGAAATCTTGGCCGAAATATTATTCAGGCTTTCGGTGGACTATTTATAAAGTTTTGTTCCAAATGAGTTTGTTTACTTGCATGTCGGTAGGCACGAACCGTGTAACTACGGGTGACCGAAGGCGCCGGTGTTATAATGATCCGTGCAACCGCAAGTATCCGTACGGCTTGTCCATCCAATATCCAATGGACTGTACATTCAACATCTGGAGGTGGGTTGGCAGTCTGGAACAGTAGCAAACGGCCCAATTGAACATACAATGGCGTCCTTTGCGCCTCAAAGCACGTACCGCGAGTACAAACAGGATACGCAGCGGCTCTTGTTCTGGATTATTCATGCTTCCAATACAATCCTCAAGTCGTCGGCAGCCGCAGAACCAGGCACCATCGAGCCTCAGAACAACCAAAACGTGACGGGCCAGGTTACCGTGAAAGAGCTCGTATCCATGGCCAAGACGATTTCCAAGCATGCTGTCCGCATCCCAGGTGCCATTTACCGCAAGCTGCAGTCGGTAACACGCGCGAGGACGGCCATGTACCAGGCCTTTCAGCAGCTCGCTGCCTTGAGCCCGAAACCTGACCCAGAGATGGAACAGAGCAATGTTACTCACAAATTCTTCATTGATGCGCTGAATGAGGTGTTTGACATCTTCGGCGGGCCTTCTTGGGTGAAGGAGCAGCAGCGTGGTAGCAAAGAAGCCGAATTCGACGCCGAGCTCGACGCCGAGGTCGAAAAGGCCAACTTTTCCAATAAATTTGCCGCACTGGGTCTTGGAAGCTCTGAGCAGGACGAGCCTGACACAGCTGCAGTGGACTCTGGCGACGATGAGGGTTCTGACGTGGAACCGAAGTCGGCTACCCCTGGACAACAACGTCGTCAAGCTCGACCGGGCAGAGGCAAGAAGAAGAAGGGTGGAAAACGGGCCAAGAAGAGCAAACAGACAGCCAAGCCTGCACCTCAGACGTTGGATCAAGTCCCGCTCGAAAGCTACCGCATCATCGAGGACGACGCCGGCATTGTTACTGACTACCTCCTGGCGGTTTATTCTCTCTTCGAGGAGGCTTGTGACCTACGGGCGTACATGTGCGGCGTGTGGCGCGAGGTTGCGTACGAGGGCCTCAACAGCGCCGTGGCCGGTACGCTTGCCCATATAGCAACGGCCATGGTTAAGCGAACCGAGGCCTCCCTCATGGTAGAATTCCCCGGCCACGAGTCGTACGAGACTGTGATGCAAACCCTCACACGTGGCAATATAGAGCAGGCGCAAGGCAAATTCACAATGACGCTCTACAGGATCCATGGCGCGGACGGATCAACAGAGGAGATGGCAGAGGCTACAATGGATGCCAAGGAACAGTTCCTAATCCACGCATATCAGGATCTCGTAGATTTCGTGACCGACTTCCAGGCTACTCGCAGCGGCAAGCCGACCAAGCGTATGCTCGCGGAGATCGACAAGTGGAACCCAACTTTGGACCTACAGCGCGCAACCAAGGAGCAGAGACAACGCTGGCGTCGATCTTATACCATCAACTGGCTTTACGATCTGGTCAACGTCTACTCCAGCATTGTGGTTCAACGCAACACGATGAAAGGGGAGCACCATGTGTACGAAAGGGTCGACTGGGCTGCCGACGGCAAGTGGAGCCAGCACGTACGCCTCTTTGGGATCAATGAGTTTGCCGGCGTTGTAACGTAAGTCCTGGTTTTCGCTTTACTTTTACATCAGCGTGACTGGATTTCTGACTAGTGGAGAGCAGCTCTCTTGCTATGCAAAAGCCTGGCACCGACATCAAGAAGCGCATCAACCCAAGCTTGGTATTCCAGATGCAGTGCATAGTCGACTCTTTAATGGTCTCGCGGGGCTGGTCCCACAACAGCTTTAGGGGACATGTGTTGGAGTCACCGATGAGTGAGTTCCGGCCGAGGCGAGACGTCGACCTGTTCCTGGATCGTGAAAACGAGAGATTCGGCAAGGGCTTCCCACAAGGCTCCCACGTGCTGAGACAGCTTCTGGAGCGAGACAGCATGCTACACGGCGACCCCAACCGACACCAGTCACAGATCGGCGTACTCGAAGGTCTGATGGCGGATTTCCGGGACTGGCTAGGCGAGTCCAAGTACATGTATGGACTGACAACTCTGCCACCCTCTCGCTTTTCCAACAGTAACTCCAATGGCCTCTGGGAATACTCGCCCTTCCTCTGCGGTACAGGACTAGCCGAAAGTCTGGAGATTGTATACCGTTTCGGCATGTTGCTCTGGGACCAGATACCTGAGCCAATGCTCCTAGTTCACTTACACAACATGCTAGTACAGAAGAAGTATCTCGAGAGGCCGATTGGGATTTTTGCTGCCTTGGAGGTCACCTTTTCAGAGGCCTTCTTCGCCGACGGCCGCCCCCCTACCTCGAATTTCCAACAGGCCCTCAACAGCCAGATTAACAAGACAGGCACTCATTTCTCACAGCGCCAACGAGCAGCCATGCGCAGAGGGGCATCGAACACGGTGCAGGGCATGCTCAACCCGGCCGCCAACCGTTTCTTCCGCATCAAGTCCAATCTTCTGTTGTACCGCGAAAACGGATGGGATCCAGACCGGATCCCTAATGAGGACCTCACAAAGCATACCCTGTTACACAATTTCCGCTCCAACTACGCAGAGACCTGGCCCTCCATCCGAGGCACGGGCGAACCCCAGTCTTTTGGCGCGGATGGTTCAAGTTCGCTCATATTCGACGCCGATAATAACCTCATGCCACCACTGCCGCAGCCTGTAAGAGCTGATCGCTTGTCGCGGCGGGAACTGCTCGAGTTCGTCCGCTATGACATCTATTCAGACGTCTGCGGTCGTTTCCCATATTCGAGTCTCAACTACTCTTGGGTAACAGCGCGCATCATGACCTTTTTCATGATGATTGAAGATGAGCTGAAAAAGCTCAACAACCCCTTGTACCAGGATATCTACGTTACGAAAAGCGGGCGCCCTGAGAAGCGCGTCTTTCTCGCAGTGGCGGCTTTGTCCGAGACAAACGAGGAGTGTCTGCGGGTTATGGCTAAGATTCTGGAGGAACAGAGGATGGGATGGATGCAACACATTTATTGGGATGATCTTGACATGGATATGCATCGATCTTTCGAGCGCGCAAGGGGCCACAGCCATCCAATAGAGCAAGACGCATGTAGCATTATGTAAAAGACTGATATCTCTTCGTAGTTGATGGCTATGTAGACCCGAGGATGGAGATGTTCTGGTTCAAAGAGCTTTTTATAGTCTGCCTAGTATCAAGATGAATCAACATCTTGATTTTTAGTAATGGATAGGTTAGTACCATATGTTCTAAACTCTGTAAATTAATTTTAAATCTTGTAGCTTATCTATCATTTACACCAATTACAGGCAAGGTAGGTAGGGTACGTGGCAAGGCCTAGTAACATTAAGGCAGACTTGCTTAGGTTCTGAAAGCATAAAACAATAATAAGCATTAGAAGAGGAGAGATCAATGAATAATTACTTGCCCTTATCTCTCCGAGAGATGGAGCACCAGGGGATCGGACTCCACCAAATGCAAAACATATCCATGTACTCAATTCGTCAAACTCAGTATTAGCCAGCTCATGTGTATAACCCAAATTGCCGTAATGAAAAACATTATGCTTTCCATACCTACAGAGTATCAGCACACAAACTTCCACTAGCCAGGTAGGTAAGGTATCTTTCGATGTGGCTCTCTGGTACGATATCAGAATAAGGTATGTATTAATCCACCCGGCCAAAACTTTTGCAATCAAAGTTTAGTGGCTACATGTAGTAATTTGGCACGTTCTATCGCTTGTGAATTGAAGAAGTAATCAATTGCCTCAGGCATTAAACCCTTTATCAGTGAGTCGAAAAGTAAGAGCGGTGTACAAGTGTATATCGCAGTGGGAAGCGTATTACTGATTAAACTTCCGACGGCCTTTACCAGCTTATGGATCTCCTGAAGATCTATATCTCACGCCTACATGCGGTGGCTGACTTTGACTAGCGGTGGAAAACTTATTTTCATGGGACAATCCGGCGTGTCTCTTATAAATTGAGCTTCCCCAGCTGGTCAGCGGAGACGAGCGCTGCAATTCATCCACATTATATATCAACACGATTTATGCAAATCTTCAACTTCGAGCCTCTATACCTACATCTTTGAACGAATATCATCAGTGATTTGGTACTCAGTATACGACATGAAACTCTCCTGCCTCGTCGCGATACTGGGATTTGTCGCCTCGGGCGACGCTGCTCCCAAGAAGGGCAGCAAAATCCCCGAATCCCCGAACAGCGTCCCTGATCTGTCAAGTTACAAACTCACAGCGACTCTCCCCATCACCTATTTCCCGCCTCCATATACATGGCCCGACTACGCGCCAAGCTTAACAATCTACCTCCATCCGCCGCAGCACTGGGGATTCTCAAACGTGTCGACGACTGTTCCACTGGCGCCGGTTCTGGACACTGGTACGAATGGTTTACTATTGGACGCTCTGGACCTGAACATTACCAATGATACTCTGGCAGAATATGAGCCTGGATACCAGTATCTCTCGTCCTCAACAAAGTTATATCGCGGCGCCTGGGTCCCATTCAGACTTGACTTTGCTGATTCATCCGGCGAACCTGTCAACGTCTCGGCGGAGGTTCCTGTGCTCATTGTGAACGAGACGCTTCTGTGCGCAGGGTACGAGACGAAATGGAAAGCAGATTGCCCGGAAGAGAACACGAGTAACCATGATATGAACCCGCGCGGCACACGATGGTGGGGTGTCGGCTTCGGTCGTGAAGCAGACGGACAGTCACAAGGAACACCGGACAAGAATGCGCTGTTGAACATAGTAAGCATCAACGGCGTGAATGTTTCCGCTTCAGACTACTACAGAGTGGGATACAGCTTGCGAAAGGATGGCGTGGTGGTCGGTTTGACGGAGGAAAACACGCGAGACTATACCTGGACGAAGCTGGAGTTGCAAAAGGGCTTCTCTAAAGACCCGCGCGATTGGAGAAACGTCACCGGCTGCGTGAGCATTGACGGCGGTACCTGTCGATTATCGAATATCCTCGTCGATACAGGCGTGACGCTATCCTATCTTTCCACCGCTGATAAAGAAGTCCGCCTGGTTTCGTCAAGCAGCACCTCCAGAGCAAAGATCTTGGATGCGGACCAGCATATACTGGTTCGGTTTGGTATAGAGCCTGGATATGAAGGGATCCAATACAATTTCACCACCGGAAGCAACAGCGGCTTGGAGCCGGACGAAGTGAGGACAAAGTTGGTGAAGTATGGCTTGGAAGAGAAGATCAACACAGGAGTTCACTACTACCGCGAGTGGGAGACTGCCTTTGATGCAGACGGCGGCTATTGGGGAGTGAAGTATGTCGGGCCATCATAAGTGTACTTCTAGAATAGAAAAAGTTGTAGAACCTGTAGAATAGTTTGGTGTACGGATTAATTATGATATTGTTTCCATTTCTTAAACGTATACCTAAGGTGTACATAAATAAATCCTCCCTTGTTTAGTAGTCATCGTTGAGGTATACGCCTATTCCATGGTTATCAATTAACACAGCCATAGCAGCCATTTAATAAACTTGTATCGCAATTCTGTTGCTACGGATCAATATACATGATACTCACCCAATCGGAGATATGCGGAACAACCTGCATGCGGGCAACTGTTTCGGGCAGTTCCGTATCCATGCAGCTATTTCAACGGCGGGGGGCGGATCTCGCGATCTTTCAACCTTAAACATTTCAACCCCACACTTGGGCCCATGTATCCAGTCTTCAATCATACTGTACTGCCAAGATTCTGGTGCTTGCTTGAATCTACCTAGTCATCATTTTACAGCGGCAAAAGGTATGCCCAGACACTCGTTTCAATAGAAGATTGTTTCTCTAAATTCTCCTCCAGGACAATCACGTTTGCAACATACAGATATTCGAAGCCAGCTCAGCCCGATCGGCAACCATCTAGAATGGCCACGCCAGAGTCTGGCCCGATGCCTCATCCAGCAGAAGTTCCACCGACCATACCGTATCTAGACAATCTACCGGTAGAATTGGTCGAATTCATATGCTCTGCGATCCTTGCGGATAAGAAGAGCATCGCCAAGCCCGTCGATCCTCGGGAATTTACGCAATGCTCAAAAACACTTGCAAGACTGTCACGTACCTCCAAGCGCTATCGTCGAATCGCACATCCATATCTCTACTCGGAAGTCAACATTTGCGAGAATGACAAGACTTGGCTACCTTGCTTCCTGGTCTTTCTGTGGCGTAGGCCAGACCTACGGCCTCTGTTCAAGGAGATCAACATCCCGTGTCTGCCAAGGGCTTTTTCAGTCGATCCAGACACCACGGGCCCCATACTCGATGAGATATCCTCCCACTTCCGTCTCTCCCCTATGTTTTCGTGGAATCCGAAAGCTTGCCGCCAAGAATGCAGCGAGAATCGTGAACCCTGCGATCACTTCAAGCGACTGCTGGTTCTCTTGGCCTTTCTGACACCAAATGTGACTCGCTGGAGCATGGTGCCGCATCACAACTTTTGGTTCAACGAGTTAGCTGAGGCGACATGGAGAACATCATACGTCCAGAAGGTAGCTCCATCTGACCCTCGGGCACTCACGTCTCTGCAACACCTGTGGGTGCCTGGAGCACAGCCATTCCCTGTCTCGACAGACCTCTCCGCCCAGGAATCAGGGCTTCAACTAGCCGGGTGGCTCGTCCCAAGTCTTCGAACTTTACGACTACGCAATGCAGGCATATATCGCCCACTTAATAGAGGTGTTAGGCTCACCAACATGAGAGAAATAGTCATAGATTTCGGTCTTCTAACGGAGGGCGGCTTATTGAGTCTGGTTGGCGCGTGCAAAGTCTTGGAGAGCTTCTACTTTTACTCTAGAGGAAACTCCCCTGTTTTCCCCAACGGTTTCGGTGACAGATCATTGCGTGAGAACCATCCTTTTGAGTTCCTGCCACGACATATTGTTCCTGCATTCAGTCACTTGAAAGGCACTCTTCGGCACCTCGCCATCAATCGGTGGGATGGTGCTCGAGGAGAGACTGACCACAATATCAACATCCACATCGACAATGAGGCCCTTTATGCGACCTCGCCTGCATGGAGAGGAAGCGTAGTGGACAGGACGATGGGCAGTTTCAAGGACTTTAGGGTCTTGGAAACTCTGAAGCTTGACTCTACATGTTTACATCACGTCAGAGTTGGGCCTCGCAGACCCCGCATAGACCTCCCAGGGGACCATCTCACAAGCCGTCTGCCCCCATCCCTGCGCCATCTCGTTCTTCCTGGCGCTCCCCCTCAGATGATCCCAGCACTTCATGCACTGGCCTCAAGCGCAGCCTCCGAGTTCCCGTCTCTGAGACTGGTTGAAGCAACGGCCGCCGCAAGGGATGTTCGCAAACGAGAAACATCGTGGCGCAAGTATAGTGGCCCCAGGTTGATGAGAGATAAGTACTCCAAGTTCATAAAACCCGATGACTGGAACTCTCTCGAAGAGAAGTTTGCGGATGCTGGAGTTCAACTCACACACATCAACTCTGGCAATACCAGCTGCTTCGCAAGAGATGTTCTCGAAAACGCCGGCCTCATTGGGCCTGAATCAGAAGAGGTGTACGCTGGCCCCCAAACCTTCCTTGGGTCAATTTTATTTTGCTGACTGCAGTACAATGGAAATATAGCAAAAGCCGTGTTTTCATTTATAGGACTTGAAGCTGTGGGTATATGCCTCTTCTGCCATCCGATATACAACCGACATGATCCGCATCTATATAGCATCTCGTCTGAAATAATATGCTGTAGATGGCTATACAATTTTAGACAGATGTGCTGTCTACCAGAAGAGAGTATTGATCGTGGCTATATAGGGAAATTGTTAGGTCTAAGATGCGACTTCAACTATTTCATTCAGGTTATCAGGCTACCTTATCACTTCATGAATTGTTTACCGTAGGCGACTTCGTGATCGTATATGAGGTTTTGAAGTCATATTTTGTAACACGTTTCTGGTGCATGTTGGTTCCGCACAAGAACCAGATATAATGTAAAGTGACTGCATTTCGTGCTGATATGCCCAATAAGCTTACTGTCGGAATGGATGGAAGCTTTATGTAGAGATACAACGCCATACAGAGGGAAGCGGTCACTTCACTTTTGCCATAGCGGTCTATTTCAACACTTACACCATGCTAGAGTCTTGTGTTCAGAAAAGAAGAACAGATATCGTGCGGATCTTATATAGCATCAAGCGATAGATCCATCATTAATAAGCTAAATGTTTTAGGCTATATCAACTTATTAGGGGGTACGTTAGCAAGTCCAGATGCCCCATTGTAAGTCGGAAAACTAACCTGTCTTAGAATACCATGATCAACTCTATCACCAGTATTATGACACGAAGATTACTGTTCATGAAAAAGGACCAGGTCGGCAATCTATACTGGCCAGAGGTACTTAGGTATAGCAAACGTCATATAGAGCAGGATGACAGTTATCATGACAATTAGCCGGTATCTTATCCTATATCCCTTATACTTCGGAAAGGAAGTTTGTTGTCTTATGAACTATTCAGCATTAGGAGTCAAGGACTTCAGAGCGAAAAGGATCATGAGAAGGCAGTTTAGCGAGACGAAAGGGATGCTCTGCCAATCAATAGCTTGCTAAGCTACTACTACAAAACAGGCACGTTTCTTCTCAGAAGATCCCGACTTCACGGTTGACGAGCTTGAAGCCATACCATTTTTCTCAAACTTGTATATATCGTCAGATTTTCAGGCACTCCTGCAGCATCTCTAACACAAAGGCAGCAGCTAGGGGGGGGGGGGGGGGGGGGGGGGGGAC